TGGCAAGAAAAGGCACTGGAGGTCATTTTCAAGAAGAACAATGCGATTAACAGACCCTTCCCATCTTCACAGTTGAATTACAATGGAGGTTTGGCCACAAACAGACCCCATGTAGCCAACGCATCAACAAGTGAGGGAGATCCCAGGAAGCAAGGTAATTCAACTCAACAATTCAGAAAAATCACTCCCACTGAGTTTCAATATAGGAAAGACAATAACCTGTGCTTTAAGTGTGGAGCCAAGTTTGGGCCAGGTCATATGTGTAAGAACAAGGGGATACATATGATTATTGCGACTGATATAGAAGACAATGTAGATGAAGAAGAGGTCATAGAATATGTGGGAAATAGTCACAAACAGGATGTTGAGTTATCCTTACATTCAATCACAGGGAATCTGCTCTCTAGCACCATTAAATTGGTAGGGATGGCTAGGGACTCTGAAATTGCTATTCTACTGGATGGGGGAAGTTCTAATTGTTTCCTTAAGAAGTTAGTTGCACAAAGATGGCATGAACTTATCAGGCAACACAAGCCCTTTAAGGTCAGAATTGCAGATGGTCAGGAGCTTTGTTGCAGTCAGTGGATACCAAATTTCCAATGGAGTATGCAAGGACAAAAGTTTTGTCACAATGTATACCTTTTAGATTTCGAGCCATATGATCTGATCATAGGGGTGGACTGGATGAAGGCCTACAGCCCTCTAACATTTGACTTTAGACAACTGCAGGTTTCATTCAGTAAGGATAGTGAACTAGTGAGATTGCAAGGGGATGATGGCACTGCAAAAACTAGGATGGTTAAGGGAGAAGTGGCCCAAAAATACATCAGGAAGAAGCTAAAGCAGGCAGTGCAGGCTTGCATGATCAGCACTACTCAATCACAGGTAAGCACAACTCCAGTTATTCTAGAACCTCTATTGATTGAGTTCCAGGATGTATTTAGTGAGCCCAAGCAATTGGTCCCCCAAAAGATCATTTGACCACCAAATTCATTTAAAGACAGATGCAAAACCATTCAAATTGGCCCCTTATAGATATCCACATTTCCAGAAATCTGAAATAGAAAAACAAGTCAAGGAAATGTTACACAGTGGCATTATCCAACCCAGTCACAGTCCATTTGCCTCCCATCCTATTGGTTAAAAAGAAAGATGGTAAGCTGGATTTTGCATAGATTATAGACAACTCAATTCCTTAACCATTAAAGATAAATTTCCCATTTCTATCATAGATGACATACTAGATGAACTCCATGAGGCCAAAATCTTCTCCAAAATTGATCTGAGGTCTGGTTATCAGATTTGCATGAACCCTATAGATATTCCTAAAACAGCTTTTAGAACTCACTGTCGACTCTATGAATTTCTGGTAATGCAATTTGGACTTACCAATGCTCCAGCTACATTCCAAGCCCTTATGAACTCAGAATTTGAACCTTTCCTCAGAAAATTTGTCTTGGTCTTCTTTGATGACATTCTTATACATAGCCCAGACATGGACACTCACATCCTTCACCTTAGGCAAGTCTTGGAAACCTTAAGATCCCACACCCTTTTGGCTAAACTCTCTAAACGTTCCTTTGGACAAAATCAAATAGAATATTTGGGGCATGTTGTTACTGGTGAAGGTGTAAGAGCTGATCCTTCCAAGGTGGAATGTATGATGAATTGGCCAGAACCTACTGATGTTAAAGCACTGAGAGGGTTCCTGGGTTTAACTGGATACTACAGGAGATTCGTCAAGAATTATGGGGTCATAGTGAAACCTCTTACTGATCTTCTGAAGAAGGATGGTTTTGTTTGGAATGAAGATGCTAGTGCTGCATTTTATGAACTTAAACATGCCATGAGTAACACACCAGTCCTGGCATTGCCAGATTTCTCAAAACCATTCGTTTTGGAGACAGATGCCAGTACCCAAGCTATTGGAGCTGTTATTATGCAGCAAGGTCAACCCATAGCTTATATGAGTTAGGCATTGGGAGCAAGAAATCAGGCATTATCTATCTATGAACAGGAGTTGTTAGCATTGATCTCTGCTGTAAACAGATGGAGGCATTACTTGTTGGGATCTCATTTCATCATCAGAACTGATCACCACAGCTTGAAATACTTGTTGGAACAGACAATTTGGACTCCTCTACAGTAAAAGTGGTTGACCAAACTGGTGGGATTTGATTATGAGATGCAGTTCAAACAAGGGAAAGAAAATGTAGTTGCAGATGCTCTTTCCAGAAGGAGAGGGGAAACTCAAGAACTCAGTGCCATATCCATAGTAAGACCAGCTTGGATAGCAGACATAGCTGAAAGTTTTGAGGAGGATCCTAAAGCTAGGGAGCTGCTTACTGCATTAGCCGTCAATGACAAAGAGATGCCTGAATACTCTTACAGTGGTGGAGTCATCAGGTACAAAGGTAGAGTGTATGTAGAGGCCTCTACTCTACTCAGGCAACAACTTATTACCTGCATGCACACGTCAGCAATTGGAGGACGCTCAGGTAATTTGGGCACTTACAAGAGAACTAAAACATATTTCTACTAGCCTGGCATGAAAAAGGAGGTGGAAGATTTGGTACAGAACTGTGATGTGTGTAAAAGGAACAAGGGGGAAAATTGTAGACCACCTGGGCTATTACAGCCCTTACCTGTACCAAAGCAAGCATGGCAACACATATCTATGGACTTTATTGAAGGACTGCCTAAATCTGAGGGTTGTAATGTACTGTATGTGGTAATTGATAGGTTTACAAAGTTTGCACACTTCATTCCCTTAACAAGTCACTACACTGCTAAGAGCGAAGCACAAGTATTCTTTGATCAGATATTCAAACTGCATGGTCTTCCATCCAGCATTGTGACAGATAGAGACAAGACATTCACCAGCATATTTTGGCAGGAGTTATTTTCGAAATTAGGAACACAGTTGAATCTCTCTACTGCCTATCATCCCCAATCAGATGGTCAGACAGAGAGAGTTAACAGGTGTGTGGAAACATACTTAAGATGCATGTGTTTCGAGCAGCCACAGAGATGGAAAAGGTTACTAGCTGCAGCAGAGTGGTGGTACAACACCAACTTCCATACTGCACTGAAGATGTCCTCATTTCAAGCTCTTTATGGCTATACCCCTACACAACTCAACCTAACTCCAGGAACATCAGTAGTAGCTGCAGTGGATGATTGGATGTCAGAGAGGGTAAACTGGAAATTATTGCTCAGGGATAACCTACTAAAGGCACAGAATAGGATGAAGCAGAATGCTGATAGACAGAGGTCTGATAGGAGCTTTGTGGTTGGTGATTTAGTCTATCTTAAGCTGCAACCATATAGGCAGACCACCGTGGGTCTCAGAAGGAACCTTAAGCTGTCTGCTAAGTATTATGGGCCCTATAAGGTGTTGCAGAAGATGGGACCTGTAGCTTACAAATTGGAGTTGCCAACAGGATCAGCAATCCACCCTGTGTTCCATGTGTCTCAGTGGAAGCCGTCTACTAAAGGAGAACCAGTACAAAGTACTCTACCACAACTACATGAACAAGGAGAGATAAGGGTAGCACCCCAAGCTGTACTGGAAAGAACTAAAAGGAGAGGAGAACGAGCTACAGAGCAGGTGTTGATCTTGTGGGAAAATTTGAGCCAGGAAGATGCTACTTGGGAAGATGCTGCCATCATCAGGTCTCAATTTCCAGAATTCAACTTTCAATCCTAGAGACTAGGATTTTGTTAAGGGAGGGGTAATGTAATGACACTAGATCAGAAGATATTTTTGACAAATGTGAAATGTATTTCCTTCAGGTAGTTAGAGGGAATCTTCCCTGTTAGTTAGGCTGTTATGCTGAGTCAGCAATCAGGTAGTTATTCTGTTATTTTTGAGCTGTATAAGAATGCAGAGGCGGGATGGGGCAGGCATGGAAAGTTCATTTGAATAATATCTCTCTTTCTTCTTCCTCAAGTCTAGTTTCTCTCCTTCTTATGTCTCTCTCATTCTGCTGCAATTGCAGCACTTGTTACATAAACTTAGGAACACATGAAGCATTTTCACACAAACAATGTGTGATTGGTTCACAAGCAGCTGAGATTCAACCAAAATGTATGCTTAGTTTTCTTCCAAAGTCAATCCGTGTGTTTTGGTTGGTACTTAGTGTCTTTTGAGGTTGGAATTATCATGAAGATTCTTGTAGAGAATAGGTTTGACACACAATGTCTGGCAATTTTGCCGTTGATTAGGTGGGCCATTGTTAATACTATTTCTAAGTTTTCTTTTGCCTTTACCTTGTTAAGGACAGGGTTAAGGTGGGTAAGGGCAGGGACCAACTCTTTTTTTTTTTCCCTTTCCTCTCTCTCACTCTTTTCTTTTTTCCTCTTTTCCTCTTAATACAAGCAGTGTACCTTACAATTAAGTTCTCTAGAAACATCTAGAGATTGTGTCTGATCATTATTGGTATTAAGCCAATGCCCCATTGATGAGGTCCTAGTTGTGCTATGATTTAAATTTGATCCTATAAAATGCATTGCAAGTTTTCTCTTCACCATTTTGTTGCAGTTTAACTCTCTCCTAGAAGTCTGCAGCATTGTTCAGAGTCACAAAGTAAAGAATTCTCTGTGAGCGAGAGCAAGCACTTTTTTTCCCTTTTATTTTTTCCAACTCTTTTTTGTTGCAGTTTAACTCTCGCCTAGAAGTCTGCAGCATTGTTCACGGTCACAAAGTAAGGAATTCTCTGAGCGAGAGCAAGCACTTTTTTTCCCTTTTATTTTTCCGACTCTTTTTTGCCACATCCCACCTCACCTCTCAAATCCCTCTTAGGGTTGTAGAGAGGGCGATATATATATGCTTCACTTATCAGAATATAAATCACCTAATTTTTCTGATGGCACAGTGGAAGTACACCATAAGCATATTCACAGATAACATATGGTATAACAAATGCCAATCTCCACATCAATGAAAAGGAACAAAATTTCTTTAAAAGAAAGAGGAGCAATAACTTCAAAAGATGTACCTCCAATGCAGTGGGTTTGATTGAAAATGACGTGGAAAAGATCAATTCGAACATATGGAGAAATTTGACAATTAAGACGTTCCATTACCCCTGCCATAACCTGCAGTTGATTTCCATCAAGTGAAAACTCTTGGTAGAAGCGTTAATAGTCCTGCTTGTAGCATACATGTTGATGGAGTCAACTACTCCCTTCTTAAAGAACTAATCATAAAAACCTCTCAAAGTAACTTAAAGCTCTCTTTCTAACATGCAACTTGCTAGATAGGTGGAAACTGGATAAGGGTTGTTACAAGGGTGGCAATGGAAATAAACTGCTTTCAGATAATAGCTTGTTACTTGACTTGATTTTGCCACATATTAGCTCAAGCTCAAGGTACTTTTTAGAGTAATTTAAGGCTTATCAACAAAACAAATTAGTCCCCCATTTCAAGATGCAGAGTTAGTGTTTAAAACATTCAAAATGTTTGGGGCATGTAACTGCTTAAAAAGGAGAAATACGAGGCACATTGCACTACTATACTAAGTTGATTACATCCCTAGTCATCACAACCACAAGGATCTTCCCAACCTTTAATGGATGGGAAGAATTTCCACAATCTACCAGACAGAAAACAGAGCAAAAAGATCGCTGTGATGCAAAATTGTACACTAGTACCTGGTCAACCATCCCATGGACCACCAACCAAGCTTTCTTGTCTTTAGGAGTAGGCTGCAAAAGAAGTAGCATGGTTACGTATCAGAAGTATGGAATATCCACATGACATAGAAAGATGATAAAAGAGAGTGGATAACATCAGAGCTGGAGGTAGAAGTTTTCTTCACTGGGGGCAAGGGTACAGTTTACTTCCTCATACCTCATAAATAACTATAGGAATCATTATAGTTTCACTCGAGTATTTAAGCCACTTTATAGGGCCAGTAAGGCCCATGATAACTTGCAAATTACCAAATATTGATTGCAGAACTTCCATTAAAAAGGAATGCATTTGAGCGTGCAGTATGATATTTACCAGCAATCCTCTCAATATATACAAGTTACTGCAAAAGTGGCAACTATCAAGACAAACAAAACGACTAAAAGTATGGAAGGTACAATTAGCTACTAGAAGACATGGAAAGACTAACAGAAACCAATACAACACGTTCGAGGACCTAATCTATATACAGTTACACTTCATGGAGTGAGAAGCGGAAGGGTTGGAAGCAAGAAGCAAGACAGGCGGTCAAAATCAAACCGTCATTTTAAAAACAAGAAAAAAGTTCCTTCTTTAATTCAAGTATATTCAATTCTTTATAATAACTTATTATGTAAATATTCTGAACCTTTCATTGAATTAATATTTTCTTTCAATTAACAGAGGGGATGCAACAGTACAAGCATGAAAATTCGATGCCTACCAATCTAATTTGGTGTGCTCATAAAATTACAAGGTCCAACTAAAAGCCATGTGCAATTAGCATGAGCTAATAGGTATTAAATATTGCCATTGGGAGCAAAGGCATTAAAATTACCATGACGCTTTTAAATTTTAGAAACTACAGATGTGGCAACAAAGAAAGAGCCATGGTCAAGTCAGTGGGCATAATTGCAAGGATCAGATGACAAATAAACTCTTTCAGTATAAAGAGAACTTGAGTCTGCACCATAACTTCCTAAGATGGTATACTGCTTCTACTAAATATCTTAAGTAGACAAATGACAGGCACTAGATTTTATATCATTTTCATCCTTTCCCTTTCTGATAAAGAGGAAAGGCCATATAAACCACATTTCACAAGGAAAAATAATTAAAACGTTTAACACAGCAGCCAACACCCTCAGTCCATCACACATCGCAACAATGAACATGGAATAAACTTCTTGCAAGAGAACACTCACACCTTCTGGCAACAAAACAAGGTAGCGAAAACAATCAGCCAAACTAAGCACAATCTAAGAAGTACAAGAATCAAAGCAAAGAAGGAATACTATTAGAGTGTTGGACAGCCCAGGTTAGTTACTGGAAAAAGAATTCTGCAGGTATTTACTGTTATTATACTCTTACTCTATGCCAATCCAATAATCGAATGGTTTTCAAAGAAATCTAATTCAATATCTAGCTAGCACTTAAATCCCATTGTTCAGTTGATCTTTAATTTGGTGACAATCAAGATCTTCAATTTTATCAGGAATGCTGCAATCTGTCTTATTAGCATTAGTGAAAAACTTGTGCTTCGTCAGAATCAAAAACATGTATTAGAGAGTGACAGAAAGAGCATCAAGGAACAGAAGCATAACCTGAAGGTTTACAATTACAATCTTTCCCCCTCCACGTAGAGATTTCAAAGGAAGATTGCAAGCCGGAGTGATTTGCAAACTGCAGAATGTGTCCCAAAGTTATATGCGAAAATTTAGAAAACACAGTCAATAAAAACTATCAGCTAGAGAGCCAAGGATACAAGAGCAAAACAGTTGATTGCATGGTAAAATTTATACAATAGACATTCCACTTATGATGAGCATTTTGGGCATTTTGATTCTGTTATATGTTCCAGCACATCAGAGGATTTTAAGATTCCCACCAATTGAAACAAGTTTTGAAATCTCACCAATTCCCACAGCCTTTCCTCCAAAACTAATCCATTTAGAACAGCAGAAGACAAGAATCTCCAATCTCATTGTTGGATTGAGACTCCATGCCAATTTGCTTTGCATGATAGAATCAGAAATAATAGACAGTTGACAAAACTAGAGTTCAAAATTTCCTTTCACCCAAACAAAAGCCCACATTTTAAGAATAGTTCACTCATATTATTATCTCTGCCAAACTGTGCCGAAGTCTGTTTACAAAAATTCCAGAATCAGATTTGTAGGCAGAAAGAATTAGTTCAAATTGCAACTGCATCAGACTGGCAAATTTTGGTTAAAACATAAACTAATCGAACTTAACATTTCCCAAGAAGATTGATTGGACAATATGTCTAAATATCGGCAGAAAATCAACTAATCTACTACACCCTTCAAGTCCTTCCAGGTCTTTTCAAGCATGCATATGCAAGGACCAAAACAAGTCTTAAGTTGCTGATATCTCGTGGTTAATTACTTCGCCTGGTAAATTTCCGATCTAGCCATTCAACTCTAATTTATATTATCATTCGACATGATGTCCTTTAAATCAAATCTATATTGTTTTAAATGAAAGATAAGTACTAAGCAAAATCTGAATTCCAAACTCTCAATATAATTGGCTGACTCTTTTGCTTACTTAATACTGATGTATTCCCTGCTTTTGAATTTAGCTAGATATAGATTGTTATCTAGCTTAGAGACTTGGATTTTTTGTCAAAATTTTTAGCTGTTTTCATCTTTAAAAGATAATCCCTCCAGCTGTACTAACCAACAAGACACTTTACATCAGAACACCTACCATATGTAACTAAGCACGAAGAATTCAACTGCAGGAATTTTCTCTATCACACGTATACATTAAGCACAGACATGAGAAAAGTGAAAATTTCAGCTCTCCTCAAATTAAGCGAGCAATAAATGAGCAATTGCTGGACACATGATATTCTCTCTAACTAATGAATGTCGAGTGTCAAACTAAAATTTTAGTATGATCAAAGACTCCTTAAGTTTATGAAAGTGAGCTATTTTATTTAGGGTACATTACCAGGAAGCCTTGTAGCTAAGCAAACTATCCTTTAAACTCTTGGTTTCAGAATCTACTTTTACCCCATTGCCACTGCTACATGGGCTACTTGTGTTTGTACGCTTGCTTTACTCCATCATTCCTATGTAGTAACCAACCCAAAAATACAATTTCCTGCCATACCAGAATGCCTATTATCTGGTTATATTTTAACCAAAATGAAGAAACATTTTTATTGATAATAAGTAGCCAAACAATTAACGCTAAAGCATTTTAAGGAAACTAGTAAAAATGGCAGAATTGTAACTAAAGATAAACTACTCAACTTATATATTTTTTTCAAAAAAATTCATTTTCTCCTTCCTCTTATTGCTCCTAAGAGCTTAAGCCCCCAACAGAACCATCACTTACCATTCTGCTGACCCAACTCTGACTGGTAATTGCCATCTAGGTTCACCAGACAGATCTGTAGTTGGAAAGTTTTACTTCAACACATTTATCTAGCTTTACCTAGTGCATTCTAATACCAAAAGAACTCAATCACAGAAGCCTATAGGTTTATATGGACACAGAAGACTCTCCATGGCAGCTTCCATTCTCCACCTCCTTAGTTGTGAAATTAACGCACAAAAATATAAGTAACAGAAGTGCCACATACATCCTTCAGACAATGGAGGAATGGATCTAGAGCCTAGTAAACACCAAAAACAGACATAGAAATGCACAAAATATCCACATGCTAAAACCAAAAAGAGATCTTAATAACTCGCTATTAATTTGCAAACCTCTGTTTCAACATCATAATACATACAAATCTGGGTCACGCATAACAAGTCAATGTTGAAATTTGCAATTTCTTTGGGTGCTGACCACAATTTAAGGAAGAGACCTAATTTAAGCCCCTTCATTTCGGTCCTGAACACATGTCAGTGTTTGATTATGAATCATCAGATATACAATACAAACTGGTGTGTATTGAACCAGAAAGAAATAGAGGCAAAACAAAAAATTTTGAGGTCAATCTTTAACTTTTGATATGGACGATACTTCAAAGCAATGGTATGGATTATTTTTTATTCTACACCTTAGCAGGTAAACGGAATCCCTTGAACAACAAAATCAATAGTGAGATGAACAACAAAATCCTTTTCATAAACAAGCTTCAAGTGAAATGGTATATATATTATTATTATTATTATTATTATTATTATAACAACAACAACAACAACAACAAAATCCTTTTCATAAACAAGCTTCAAGTGAAATGGTATATACAACAATAATATAATAATAACAACAACAATAATAACAACAGCAATAATAACAACAGCAATAATAATAACAAGAATAATAAGAATAATAATAACAATAACAACACCACCAATAACAGCAACATCAACAATAACAATAACAACCACAACAACAACAACAAAACAGATGAAACAATTGTCTCTAAGGATTACCAGAAATGATATTGTTAGCCACTTCTTTCTCTGCATTTACCTAGTAATTCATAAGCAAGCACATACTACATGGCACATCAATTGCTATTGCCATTACAATATCATGAATCCTATCAGTGCTTATCTATCTTTATTCTTTCTACAAACTTACCTATCTCGAAGATTGCATTCCAGCCAAACTTTTTACGTATTTGTTAGTGCATACCAAATAACCAAAGGTTAGTCTTTTCCACCACATGACAAGATTCAAAAAACTTCTGCTGAACATTCTCATTTCTACTGAACGAGCTTCTGTTAACCTACCCTTCTGTTAATCAATTTATTGCCATCAAACCTTATCCATTAAGCCCATTTGGCTGACCTCTACCCGGTCATTCTAACTACTTTATGCAAGACACTCAATTCAAAGATGCAGCTAACAAGTGCTGCAACCATTAATCACAATTAAAAATGATAAGAGTTTCAAAATATACGTGCATATCAAGATCAGAAGGCAACCCATTGGCTCCTCAGTTACCCCACCTCCATCACCCAAGCTCCCAATAAAAGAAGATTTCAAAAGTTGCTCACAAGAAAGAAAAAGAGGGAGAAAAGTGTGAAGTACTTTATGCTAACCTGGTCCCAAGACAGAGAACAACATCAGCCATTCGACAATGTTTTGAAGCTGCATTCATCTCTTTTGGAGGCAGAGCATCCTACACCAATATTGAGCACATCATATATTACCCCAAACTTTTCTAGAACCACTTAGGGTTAATTTCAATAAATTGAGGATTAAGTAAATATGAATAGCATTGGTAACTATTAGTAATTATATATAAGAAAAGTTCACTATTACAAGAAAAAGTAGTACTTGGGGCAATATTCTTTTGTCACAAATTTAGTAGAATCAATATTTTTTTTGTCGAAATTGGTTTCAAAAAGGGAATTAGAGGAACTACTAGCCTACAAGAATATGCACTTTGTCCCACATTGGTTTAAGAAAAGGTACTCAGCAGTTAGAGTAACCTATATACCCCTCACTACTACAAAGTCCAAAACCTTGTGACTTATTATAAGAAGAAAACAAGAGAGAGAGAGAGAGAGGGAGAGGAAACAGAGTCAGCCAAGGAGGAAAAGGAGAAGAAAATGAGGGTTTACACAGGAGTGAACTGCATTATGTTTTAGTTTAAGTGTATGTTAACCGACTCCACTACCCGCTGACACAGCTACTCTAGTGCAAAATAAAGGGTCAGACACATGTATGGCAGGGCAAATTGAAGAGTCCTGGTAACATAGGTTTTAAGTTATTATGTTGTCATTCAAGTTCAATGTTTAGGTTTGATAGAAAAACTTAAGAACATTCACGATCTTGTTCATGATTTAATTTAAAAGTTTAATGGTGAAAAGAGAAGAATCTATGGAAAAAAAATAGGACGCAAATGTTTGATTTTTTACATGGTTTTAGGAGGAGGAAGGCAGCAGCATGGCTAATAGCATACATCAGTAAAACAGCTGCAAACAACTGCTGCTGCTGGAAAGGCAGCTGCCTCTACAGGATAGCTGTGGTAAGAACAATATATGGAGCAAATTCAACTAAAACACTTGACAAAACAAATTTCAGGATACAAAAAGAGCTTTTGAATTGTTTGTATTAGGAAAGTTTGATAAATAAGATGAATTCTTTACAGGTGGTGCATTTTTTGGTTTATCAGAAACCTTATGTTTTAAGGATTAATCTTCTATACGCTGTCAGTGTATACACTATCACGCTTAGATGAATGCCACATATGCTAAATTTCAATTTCAAATTTAAATTTCACTTATGTGGCATTCATCTAACCATGATTGTGTAGACATTGTCAATGCATACAAGATTTACTCATGTTTTAATGCTAAGATGGTGAATTTCTTAAACTATAAGATTAGAATTTTCTATTGAAACTTTATTTGGAAGAAGTTGCTTTGGAAACTTTGATACTGAGAAAATTTTCTCGAATGGGTTTCAATAATTTTCTTATTGTTTAAACTGGAAGTTTTAGTGCCAACAGATGCTGAAAACTCTAGGATATTGATTTAATGTCTTCTAATTGGATGCAAGATACATGTTAATGGTTTTCAAAGTTATTTAGTACGACTTTGCAAAATTTTAGTCAATATGAACTGAAAACATTCCACACGTTCAAAGCTCAAAAAATTTATGAAGGCGAGTGAAATCAAGTTGTTTAAAGAACAATATCAGTAGGGCTCTAAGTTACAAGTTAAATGACTAAGTTTAAGAGTCAATGTTGAGGTTCTTGTTGCCTTAGGTTTTTCAAAAGCTGCTTTTGCAATTTATGCTCTCTAAATGTTACATTTAGTATATAAAAAAAAAAAAAAAAAGCGATCTCATGTGGATGTGTTTTAATTATTCTAAGGTAAAAAAAATGTATGCCAGTGGCAAAACTCCACTACTCAGAAAAGAAAGAATACAAAGTTACCTCCCAATCAAGAACGGTATCTCTAAGTTTTGCTCCACATTTTATATCAGAACAACGTCTTGGTGTTTCCTTCATCCCAATTGTCTCCACCTCAAAGTCCCTCAGATACCTTAGGATTTTAAGACCATATCAATTGAGCAAATAAAATGGAAAGAGGGAGAGAGTCAAACCAATAGGAGAAGGAACATATGTAGGTCAACCCTTACTCTGCTCCACAAGAAGGGCAAATTTCCATGAATGAGTTACCATGTAATTCTGCAAGTTTTTCCCTTGGTATTCCAGAACGAAGGTGAATGCTGTCAACATTCTACAAGAAATGATCGAACCATTTATTAGAAAATTAACAATGGCGGATATGTTTCATCAGAACAAATAGATGGAGCAATATGGAAAAGCAGGAAGAAACAAGTAAACTCTTTTTCTGTTTCTTGTATTGTTGTGCATAGTTTTGGGGGACTGAGTTGGGGAATGAACCAATTCTTGCTTCTCTATCCAGCAAACTACTTGTAACTTTAACATGGTTAAGAAAAACGGTAGCCCTCAATGCTCCCATCTCAAACTTCAATTGATTAATAGACAACCCAACTAAACCCCACCCCCAACAAAAAGAACCCAAAGAAAAGGAAAAAAATGGAGGAGAGAGGACAAACGCTCAACTTGGGCCAACAACACAAAGAATAACAGAAACAAACAGAAGAGGAAAAGAAAAGAAGATAAAATGAAAGGATTTTTGCAAAATTAAGTCTTGCAGGGCCATCTTTGCATCAACATGAGACTTAGACCAGGAAATATTACTCCTCAAACCCAATATAAAGCAGCAAAAATCTAATATTAGATAAAGATCAAAACTGTCTACTATGGAGACAGCCATTTCAAATATCAAATTGCCTTGCCTCCAAATGCTGGGGCAGATTTTCATTGTCATGGTAAACCTTAGAAATTAAAACTTCCTGTCAAAAGAGTAACCATGAAGGGTAACCTGGCTGATAACAAACTTCAAGATTCCAGCCTTTTCTAGTTCAACCAAAGCCACATGCGTTAAACTTGGCATTGCTCTATGAAATGGCAGCGATGCTTCAGGCACACCTTTGCCTTCACGCTGCAAATCAGTGCATCCAAATCTATAAGAAATCACTATCGAAGTACACAATAATAATTATAGCCAACAAGGTTTAAAACATTTAGCAATCACAATGTATTCCAAGCGTTCATGAGCAATGGTCTGGTAAACAAGGCATGGTACTCTGGGACTCCATTACTAAGGTTTACAAGTGAAACAGTTTTAAGAATTAAGAAAGGGTTACTAACACTCTCCCCCCCCCCGGGCGGGTCACCATAAATATGTACATTTTACCCCCAATGAAGACTAGTCAAAGTTAGAACTGCATTAAAAACAAAGTGAGTGCAATGACATTAGTACCCTTTTGTTCATGTACTTATCTATCATTTCCTTTCATTGCTAAAAGATTTACATCTCTATTGTATCAAATGTACAAAAATATCAAATTCAAAAAAGTTAAAGATGGTTAATATTTAGTTCATATTCTTGAATTTTTTTCCTGTTGGATTAATGTTCAATTTTATATATGTTTTATTCAATTTATTAAACTTTAAGTCCAACAAAATGCATAAATAACACAATATAAAAATAAATATAATTGCCAAATTTTCAAAAAGGAGTAATACTAAACTTATTTTTTAAACTATTTTTTTAATTTATTTAAACTTTTAGACTAATATTATTGTAATTTTATTTATCAAATTAGCCTAATATTAATTTCTTAATCAAATTTGCAAAACAATGGCCAATATGCATATTTTTATACTTAGATAACAAAAATGGAGACTAAATCAAATTTTATTTTTTAACAAAGAAAAGGCAATAATAGTAAACTATAAATATATCAAAAAAATGAAGATAGTATTAAGCCTCAAAGTTCATCTAAATGAAAATAATAAAAAACTACTCTTTTTTAAACAAAAAACAAGTTTAGTACTACCTTTTTTAGCATTGAGTGTGTTTGGATTGAGATGATTTGAAATAAAATAATTTGCTTCACAAATTCCAATCACCTTTTTATCTTTCCAATCACATTTTTATCTCACATACATTACATCACAAAAAGTGCTACAGTAATTATCTCAAATAAATCATCCAAATAAACTCCTATCCAAACAAACTCATTGTGTTATTTATCTTTTTTTTGTTTGACTTAAAGTATAATAAATGAGCAAAACATATATAAAAGTGAATAATAACCCAACAGAAAAAATTTTAAGGATATAAACTAAGCAAAAACATTTTTTTAGCTTTTTTTTAGCTATTGTTGTATAGTTGATATGATAGAGAAGACATATACTTTTTAACAATAAAAGAAAATAATATTAAATTATAGATAATTTCATGAATACAAGGGCAATAATCTCATTGCAGTCACTTTTTTTTTTTTTTTTTTTTTTTTTTGTATTTCTAACTTTGACTAGTCTAAGGTTGAACAGGGGTAAAGCATACTACCCACTAAGTTTAGGGAGGAAAGTGTTATTAACCCTTAAAAAGGATAGAATACATTTGGTAAAAGGCCAAAACATCGGTTTTAAGGCTTAAAAAAGGACAGAACATACATTAGGTAAAAGGAACAATAAGTGTGAATATGGAAAGAGGAAGAGTCCCTGGGATTCACAGAAGTCATCTAAGTAATGTTGAATGCCACAATGAATGTTTCACAGGCAACAATTTATATTTGGGCATGACTAATGGAATGGCAAATGAAAGCCACAGGAACATTTCGACTGGGGATGGCAGGAAAAATGACAAAGAGACCTTAACAAAACTTAGTTCCAGGAGAAAGAAAAAAAGGGTGGAATGCTAAGCTCATTAGTGATGTCAAGCAATTGAAATTCAGAATGGTGGAAGAAGCTTCAGACTCTTTGGAATATGGAAAATTCCCAAATTAGCGGAAAATCTAGCAATTAAAAGAAGAGGAACAGAGACATTTGTGTCAAAAATCATGTTTCAACTTTTACAGAATTGTATCTCTATATGAAATTCTCTAGGAAAGTAGTTACCACTAAGATGAGCTGAAAAGCACAAAGGATATTGGATTAACCAATCTGATAATTAATGCAATTATTCCATGACGACCACTATCTAAGCCCAATGGACCAACAGCCCACAGAGTAAGATATGCACAACACCTAATACCCAAACCAAGAACAGAGCAGATAGGCAAGAACAGCAGTGCCATGGCCAACACTCACATGGAGAGGGACATGCAAGTTTATGTTTAGAGAGCAAAAGTTGGAAGGGATTGGCCAGGACAAGGTGACTTTTGAGCTAGAAAAGCCACCATACGAGTGAGCGTGATGCTAGATATCTCATGAAATCTATTGCAGCCAAATGTTTTTGTTGTCAAGGAGAATCCACAGCAACTACAAGCATATCTTTGTCCTCTGCATGTCAGTTAATTGACTTGTTTCCTACACCTCTAACCCATATAGGCTCTTGCCGGTTAGGTCCATTCAAGGAATTCTTAGTAGCATTAAGTCAAGTCAGAGAACAAAAATGATAAAGGGGGAAAAGACCTCTTTGACAGTTTCAAAAGAAGAAAGTCAAGTAAAAGGCTGTTGACAGAGAAGAACCTAATAGCTACTAAAAATGTTGTGCTTCTAAACATGATAAATAAAAAGAGAAAAAATTCTTAGTTCCGCTGTACCTCTTATGGACTTCCTTGAAAGATTAATATGTCATTTCTTGCTTTCGTTGTTTACTGGTGGTACACGGCGTGAAGCACATTGGGCAATGCAAATTCAATCGAAACTCAGAAACCAAGAAAACAGGGAGCAGATACAGTAAGCATTACTATGAAGAAGCATATAGACTACTTCAATTCATTCAAATAAGAAACAAATAAATAACAGAGATGAAATCAGAGTTGAAAAATGTGGTCACCTGAAGTGTCCAAACTCCTTTTGGACCGCGAAAATCAGGTATTCCGCATGATGTTGAAATTCCAGCACCCGTGAATACCACTAGATGCTTACTCTGCAAGAATATTCCCAAGGATCCAAAATGGTATAAGAAAATTTTTGCATGTCTCTGGCAGCAGATGTATACAACAAGCAACAGAAGTTTGAACCATAAGCATTAACCTCTTCTATCAGCGAAGCAAGTTCTTCTATCTGCCAGTTTCAAAAATAATCTGGTAAACAAAACTGAAATATGGAACATAGTATGCATTTAGTAAACAAAACTGAAATATGGAAGATAGTATGCATTTAGTAAACTTGCTCTAGCTTCAAAAAGAAGGCAGGTGCATGACATTCAACACCTTCTGTCTTCAGTATGGAGAACCATACTAAGATGCCAACTTTCTCACATTAATTTTCAGTCACCTAATAACTCATGTAACACGTAATTATAGGTGCAAAAGTCAAGCGAAAGTCACAAACTTTGACCAGACAGTCAGTGACCATTGAAAGGGTCAAATCAAGCCTACCATTCTAACATATGAACTAGATTAGCATGAAAGGGCAAAAATAATTCACTTTTTTCTTTCTTCACTCCATGACAACATTGAGGTTAACAAATGGAACTAGATACCATCATCCCATTTAGCAGCATGATTGGACAAATTACAAAGATACTATTTCCCCTTATTCAAGATAACATGGTAATGGTGTGTTCCAAACTCTTCTCAAAAAAGTCCCACAACAGATTATGACACTTAAATATGTATAGGCAACCAATCTATGAAGGAGTCAATATAAAATTTAGATATTTTATGACAAACAACACAATCTTTTTCTGAAATGAAACTCATTATTCCACTTTAGGAAACAACAAGGCTTAAATAGCGTAGGAAGCATCAGAATATTCCTAAACGACAAATATCAGTGTGTTTATATTCGGCAGAGCTCCTGCTAATCAAATTTCACAGGATGGACAATCAAAGGCCATCTGACCGAGAATATCAACATTATGCAATGAACAATAACACCTACTTTTACTAAGTTCATATCAAATGAAAAATCACAATATGATTGAGGAAAGGATAAAAGCAACCACACTTTCTACAATCATGAACAGCTATCTAAACCTCAATAACATAAGTATAAAGTCAACTATAATTCCTTACATTCTTAATCTTCATGATCAATCAGAAGCAGCAGAAGGACCAAAAGAACTTAGGAAAAATTAGTGAAAATGACGCTCTTGCTGCCTAATTAACAAGATGGGAGCAATTCTGCAGCAATTATAGCAAAAGGCATTTTATACCCACTTTTGCACCCAATATACCATTCTGGAGCAATTATAAAGGGCGTTTTATACCATTAATTTTTTGTTTTGTGGGGTTGGGGGGTTGGGTTGGGTGGTTTAGGAGGAAGGAAGGTAAGTTAGAGATCCCAAATTCGAGCCCTCCCACTTGCGCTGAAAAAAAATTTGCAATTTTGTACAAAAATACATACTCATGCCCTTTATAACAAATTAAGCACACGAGTATGCCTTTTTTTTTTTTCAAAATTCATACAGCCGGACTTTTATGAGCTTCTATATTCATTGCACTTGATACAGAGAGCTTTGGATGGTCCAACTATATCTGAATAACATTAGTGACGATTAGAATTGCTGAATAACAAGCAAGTTAAAGCAGATTGTTCACACCACACAACGAGCATTAATGCATGCCTGTGGCCAGCATCAAGCATGATAACAGCGCAATCAAATAACAAGACGAACAATCACAGGAAAAGCTAACAAAAAGTAAAGGACAAATGACTAAACAATAATACGGAAACTGAAGAATTGAGAAGAGAAAAGGAGATAAAGGACTGACCTTTTGCTGCAAAACATTAGGTGGGTCGAAAATTTCAGACATTCCCAGAGTGCCAACATCTTCTTTGAATGAGAGCTTCTGTGCATACCCTAGAGACATTTTGATTCTGGGTTTCTTTACTATCTTTCAGAGCAGGGGTGGTGGAGGGAAGGCGATCGGAAATCACAGCTTTGAGTGCTCGGACTTCCGTCGAAGTGGGGAAGAAGCATGACAAGGAAATTCTTTGGGTTCTATATAAAACAAAGGGAAGAGAAAGTAGGAATTACAAAAGAGATTTGTGATTTTTACACATAAATAAATAAATAAATAAAATATAGATTAAAATCTACATAGAAATGGATTGGCTAAATTTACACAAAAGTAAATACCAAAAAAACTTAAAAAGTAAAAGCTACATAGAAATGGCTTGGCTCACTAGTTAATGTGATGTATGTGAGATAAGAGTGTGAATCGAAATCGAAATCGGTAATTCGGAACTTTGAAATCGAAATTTTTCGGAATTTTGGTATCAGAATTTTTGACCGATTTCGATTTTGAATTCACCAATTTTGAATTCGAATTCGTTCCGAATTCAATTCGGAATTCGATAAATTCCGATTTCACCGAATTCATGAATATAAAAATGATTATTATTATTATATAAATATTATATTACATATATATAAAAAAATATTATATATATGTGTGAAAACGAAATTGAAATCGAAATAAGAATTTCGATTTCACCGAATTTATGAATAAAAAATTATTATTATAATATAAATGTTATATTATATATATATATATATATATATATGAAAAACAGATTTGAAATCGAAATAGGAATTTCGAATTCCGATTTGAAAAATCTCATTACTGAATTTGACCCGAATTCGACCAATTCGAAATCGGATATTCCGATTTCCATTCCGAATTACCGAATTCGAAATTCCGAATTTAATTCGAATTCGGTCGGTAAATCGAAATTTTTCGATTTTACACACCCCTAATGTGAGATAAAAAGTAATTAAAAAGATAAAAAAATGATTAAAATTTGTGAAATAAATCATTTTATTTCAAATTTTCTTAATCCAAACACTTCTTTGCCCTATTATGTTGAAATTAGAGTTGCAAACGAGTCGAGTCGAGTCGAGTTTTGGTCTAATCGAGCCAAGTCTCGACTAAATTTTACCGAACTCAAGCTCGACGAACCGGCAATTTAAAGCTCGAGCTCGAAAAAAATAAAAAATAATTATTTTTATTTTTAAAAAATAAATAAAATAATATTTTTTTCTTAATAAATAATAAAATATTAAGGATATATATGTAATTTTACTATTAAAATAAGACAATAAAAAAATATATATACTTAAAATAAAAAATATATATATACTTAAAATAAAAAAATAAAAAAAATTATATATATATATATATAAAGATGATTAAAATTTGTGAAATAAATCATTTTATTTCAAAATTTCTTAATCCAAACACTTATTTGCCCTATTATGTTGAAATTAGAGTTGCAAACGAGCCGAGTCGAGTCGAGTTTTGGTCTAATTGAGCCAAGTCTCGACTAAATTTTACCGAACTCAAGCTCGACAAACCGGCAATTTAAAGCTCGAACTCGAAAAAAATAAAAAATAATTATTTTTATTTTTAAAAATATAAATAAAATAATATTTTTTTCTTAATAAATAATAAAATATTAAGGATATATATGTAATTTTACTATTAAAATAAGACAATAAAAAAATATATATACTTAAAATAAAAAATATATATACTTAAAACAAAAAAAATAAAAAATATTTTATATATATATATACTCGAGCTCGCGAGTCGCGAGCTAACGAGCTTAATATTTTGAGCTCGATTTCGACTCGAACGAACTCGAGTGGATCGTGAGCGGTTCGATTCGTTTGCAGCTCTAGTTGAAATTGACGTTTGGATCTCCCTTTTCATTTTCTTTTACCTTCCTTTTACTAAGACAGTAAGATACCTAGCTACCAAAATATTTTTTTATTTAAATTGATTACTATACTCGCTTATTAGCATTAATTTTGTCCAATTTCATGATTAACCCCCCCAAAAGCAACAAGCTCCACGTGTATCTAGTGCCAAAAATCATGGGCGAATTTGTTGAACTAGAGGACAAAGATCTCTATTAATAAATGGGAGAGGGTTAAAGTTCTTTATTACTTATGGGTCAAGGAATCAATCCCCTATCTGGCTAGTTAGTTGGGATGGGTGGGTTGTCAACGGGTCGGGTTTGGATCTGACCTCGGTCCGGATCTGATAATTTTTTAGGATATAGATTGAGAAATAATTCTGATATTTGCACTCGGACCGAACCTGTTTACTCTAACAAAGAATAGGATCGGATAAAGAATATAAGATTCCGACTCATATGCGACTCATACCCAAATAGTATATTAACAATTATAAAGTATAAATATTTCTAAGGTAAATTCTGTAGTGTATTCACATATTGCAAAGACAGGTGTGGAAAGTAAATTATATGGCAAAGAAGCTGGCACGTGGAAAGGTAAAGAATATGGCAAAGAAACTGACATGTACGGATGATGAAAGTAATATGTTTACAAAAGCAAGTGGTGACCTATAACAGGCATGGGCCGGTTTGGAAATGTTGTGTATGGCAGAAGCTGAAAATGTATTGGGGTGTCACGGAATTAACATATATATAATGGGTTTAGAAATAAAACATCGAAGAGGAAGCGTAAGCAGTACTAAACACAGCCATGCTTGGTTTTGAAGCAACATATGGACATTATTGAATAACGAGTTGAGAGCCTTTAAAAAGTGAAACTTAAGAAAATAAGTGTTTGAAATATTAAAATTTTTAATTATGTAATCTATTTTGATTATCGCTGTTCTAATATATAGTCATTTGGAGGATTTCTAGAGCTGAAGTACTAAATTCTTTTTGGACTTTTAATAAATTTGAGTTATTTTTCTTTTGGTTTCTCACTTTTCTAACAACTTTTATCTAACCTACTAAATTTGAATTATTGAAATTGATTTTAATTATTATATTAGTAAAATATTAACATTTGTGGAAACTGGGTTCATGGGAAGACAGATTGTTACCTGTTTCATATTTTACCTGGTCGGCCCCTATCTATTTATGGGCATTTTACTCTGAATAATTACAATTATGTAAAATAAATAAATGTTTATAACTAAAATTGAAAAACTGTTACACTAATATTTTTGTGAAAGGTAAACTGATTGTCCTGTATTTAGCATAAACTGATTTTGAAAGTAAAAAACAAATTGCCCATAACATACTTGCTCTTTATAATTTTTTTTTGCATTATATCAACAAAATACTAGTTATTTATGGACATTTTACTCTGAATCATTACATTTATGTAAAATACATAAATGTTTGTAACTAAAATTGAAAAAGTGTTACACTAATATTTTTACAAAAAGGAAACTAGTAAATTTTGTATTTAACAATTTTTAAATATGTGAAAGTAAAAAAGTTTTTGCCCATAACATACCAACTCTTTATGAGTTTTTTGCATTACATCAACAAAATACTAACTATTTATAGGTAATTTACTCTGAATCATTATATTTATGTAAAATACATAAATGTTTGTAACTAAAATTGAAAAAGTATTATATTTATATTTTTACAAAAGGGAAACTGGTAGATTCTGTATTTAACAAAATTTAAATATGTGAAATTAAAAAAGATGGCGCCCATAACTTACCAACTCTTTATGGATTTTTTGCATTACATTAACAAAATACTAGCTATTTATGGACATTTTATTCTGAATCACTACATTTATGTGAAATAAATAAATGTTTGTAACTAAAATTGAAAATGTTTATGTAAATTTTGTATTTAACAATTTTTAAATATGTGAAAGTAAAAAAGTTTTTGCCCATAACATACCAGCTCTTTATGAGTTTTTTGCATTACATCAACAAAATACTAACTATTTATGGGTATTTTACTCTGAATCATTATATTTATGTAAAATACATAAATGTTTGTAACTAAAATTGAAAAAGTATTATACTTATATTTTTACAAAAGGGAAACTGGTAGATTTTGTATTTAATAAAATTTAAATATGTGAAAGTAAAAAAGATTGCGCCCAAAACATACCAGCTCTTTATGGATTTTTTGCATTACATTAACAAAATACTAGCTATTTATGGGCATTTTATTCTGAATCACTACATTTATGTAAAATAAATAAATGTTTGTAACTAAAATTGAAAAAGTGTTATACTTATATTTTTACGAAAGAGAAACTCGTAAAATTTGTATTTAACATAAATTAAATATGTTAAAACAACATTACAGGTGATTTTATTAGATACTTAATTTGTTGGTAAGAAACAAGGTTTTTTTTTTTTTTGCAAAATTTGTTCATTAGATTTTTTCAAATAATTACGATATAAAGGTAAATTTTCACAATCTTTTATTAGCAATAGACCCCAATTTCTTCCTAAGCAGTGACGAAATCAAGATTTTTTCCTTGGAGGAGGGGCCAAAATGATTGACAAATAAAATTATTTTAATATGTTATGTTCAAAATAATTTTCATCTATTTAAATATATGGCATTCTAAAATATCAAATATTAACTTTAATTATAAAGGTATGTCTATTTAATAAATATGTAATATAGTCATAACAAAAATTAAGACAAGAAATAACATTTGATTAAATATTTTATAGGAAAAAATGGACTTTTCATCCTCAAAGTTTAGGTGGTTGGCCAATTTCATCCTCAAAGTTTTGTAATTTTGGCCAATTAAGGACAATTGACGGGAAATGAAGAATTGATCGTTAAAACCAACGATTTTACCCAACAAAAAATGGATAAAATCGAATAGAGCCATTTTTAACGGAACAATTGCAACGGACAAAAGGCTCAATTCTTCTCCTTCTTCGCTCTGCCTTTATGTAACCCCAAATTTTTTTTGCCAATCTCTGGAGCTTTAACGACCGTTATACAACTTTCAAAACAAATAAATTCATTCTAAATTTTTATTTGGGATTATTTCATAAACCAAATTGCGGTCACTTTGTGTAAAGTATCACTTTCCCATAAAAGACCAGTTCTTTATGGTTTTCCTTCATTATTAGAACAGGGTACCCATTTTTTTATAACTAAATTTATTTATCGAATAAAATAAAATTAAATTCATTTTCTAATAAAAGACCAGCTCTTTATGGGTTTTCTCC